AGTGATAAGAAAATCTGAGAGGGTAAGACATTTAATTATATCTAAAGGTGGAATTTTTAAAATGGACTAAAATTTTGAAGGGGTTTATTATAAATATTAGAAAATGTATTAAGAATAAACTAGATTGTGTGAAAATTTTTTATAAAGTAGAGTCTCAATTATCATTGTTATTAAAGTATAGGGAAGATTTAAAAAAGAAACGTATAAAGACTAAAAAAAAAACAAAAAACTTAGTTTGGGTAGATGTTGATTCATGTTTTAATGGGCGGATTCGAACAGGTTCAATAATAAATTTAGGTATAAAAGATCCAGACATATTTTTAAAAAAGGCATTAAGAAGTTTTTTAATTAAAATTAGACAATCCCTGAAGACTTCTGGTGAATAAAAACGCACAACGGCAACGTCGCTTCATTTCCTTGTGGCGCGTGCAGCACCCCTCCACCGTCGGCGACCGGCACCGAAAGACGAAGACGAAGAAGCCGCGGCCATTACATATTCGCCTCTACTGTCAGACAGGGCGCATCATTTCATTTTACTTATTTACGTAATTAGTTGTATATTGTTAAATATATTATTAATAAAACCACACACAAAAATCAGCGTTTTAGTACGCAACATATGGTCCTTCGAGCCCGATTGAATGGGATTTCAAGAGCAATTGACGAATATTTGGCTGAAAGAAGACAAGATCAGGTGGGTTTTTCCTATTTTCCATAATATTCCTTATCATTTTCATGTCAATTCCTGTCAGGGTATTGTAGAGAATTGTTAGTACTATCGTTCTTTAATTTCATTGTCATATTTCATATTTATATTAAGAATATAACTGTCATGGCCGAACTAAAGGCATTGTTAGCTGAAAGAAGGCAACTTAAATCTAGTTTAACACGATTTAAACTTTTTAGAGAAACAAAATTCGTCAGAACAAATTGCGCTGTCAGAATTAGACGTTAGATTGTCTCAAATTCAAGATCATTTAAAGAAATTTGAAGATATACAATTAAAAATTGAAATTTTATCAACAGAAAACGAGTCGAGCGATGTTTTAGAGGATATTAACGAACGGGATTCTTTTGACAATAACTTTTATTCAGCGATAAGTTTAGCTACTGATATTTCAAATCAATGTAGAATAACTGAACAAAATCATGAACATTCGATCACTGATAATGATATACGTACGGTTAATAATAAAGTATTTGATAATTTACAGCAAGTAAGACTTCCTCAGTTAAACTTACCTACTTTCAATGGAGATTATAGTGAATGGTTATTTTTTCGAGATAGTTTTAAATCTCTAATACACGAAAATGTAAGTTTAGATACAATTCAGAAATTTCACTACTCAAGACTTTCACTTAAGGACGAAGCTGCACAAGTTGTGCAATCGTTAGGCGTTTCGGCAAATAATTATGACACAGCTTGGTCTCTATTAAATGAGCGTTATGAAAACATACCCTTACTTGTCGGAAATCATGTACGTGCTATTTTTAATTTACCTAATCTAAATGAGGAATCTCACGTGGGGCTTAGACAATTATTAGATGGTGTCACACAACATACTAGGGCGCTCTAAGTTTTAGGCCAGCCTGTGAACTCTTGGGATACTTTGTTGATTCATATTTTAATTTCAAAATTAGATAGTGTTTCTAGAAGAGCTTGGGAAGCTCAAAATAGTTCTAATGTTTTGCCTACTTTTCGCGTGTTCAAAGAATTCTTACAAGAAAAATGTCGTTTACTAGAAGCAATAAGTCAAAGTTCTTCTAAGTCGATACGCGCGGCGGAAAAAATGTTACATACAACAGTGTAACTGCTTTAAAATGTTCCTTGTGTCAAAACGAACATCTTATTTATAACTGTAAAGATTTTATTAAACTTGATGGTAATGGTAGATTATCCGAAGCAATCCGATTGAAACTTTGTCTTAATTGTCTTCGTAAGGGTCATCTGTCAAAAGATTGCATCTGTCAAATTGATTGTTGAAGTGTCAACCTTGTCCTAAATGTCATAGACGACATCATAGTTTATTGCATTTTGCAAATTTTCAGCAAAATAGATCATCTGTCACAAATCCTCCTCAGGGTAATGAAAGTCATGCTTTTCATAGTTATAAAGATTCAAATAGTATTTTACTTTCGACTGCTATAGTCCAAGTCACAGATAATCATGGTAAAGTCCATGAATGCAGAGCTTTGTTAGATAGCGGTTCAGAATCCAACTGCGTAACAGAAAAATTGTACAACACATTAAATTTGCCTAGAACTCTTACAGATATCACTATAAACGGGTTAGGCCAGTCTGCTTCTCAAATTATTCATAGAGTTTCCGTAAATATGCAATCACGTTTAAATAATTTTAAAGTAAAACTTTCATGTCTTGTTATTAAAAACATTACTAATAAAATTCCACAAACTTATTTCGATATCGAAGAACTTCAAATTCTAAAAATGTGCACTTGCTGATCCTGCATTCAACATGCCATGTCAGAATGATATTTTGTTAGGTGCTCAAATTTTCTGGGATCTTGTTTGTGTAGGACAAATTAAATTAGGCAAAAATTACCCAACACTTCAAAAAACTCATTTGGGCTGGTTAGTATCGGGCACTATACCTAGTTCTATGTCAAATATTTCATCATGTAACTTTTCTCATTTATCTAATGATTTAAACGATTCTCTTAAGAAATTCTGGGAAATTGAAGATTTTCAGGTACTCCAAGTATTTTATCTAACGAAGAAAGAGCTTGTGAAAAACATTTTGCCCAAAATACAAAGAGAAACTCAGACGGACGTTTTATAGTTAGTTTGCCATTAACGAATTCTTCTGATAGAATTGGAGATAATAGAGCAAATGCTGTCCAGCGCTTCTATAATATTGAAAAAAGATTTCAACGTGACCAAAACTTATTTATTGAGTATAAGGCTTTCATAGACGAATACATAAACTTGAATCATATGACTAAAATTGTTGACATGCCTGAATCTGGTGAATATTTTTTGCCTCATCATTGTGTTTTCAAGGAGTCCAGTACGACTACTCGACTAAGAATTGTATTCGGTGGTAGTTGTAAGACAAATACCGGATTATCTTTAAACGATATTATGATGGTAGGTCCAACGATCCAAGAAGATATTTTTGCTATTCTTTTGCGTTTCAGAATCTTTGATATAGTAATAAAAGCTGATATAGCAAAAATGTATCGGCGGGTACTTGTTTCAGAATCTGACAGAAAACTTCAAAAGATATTTTGGCGTGATGAACCATCAGACCAATTAGATACTTATCAGTTGAACACCGTAACATATGGCACATCACGAGCAGCATTCCTAGCCATTCGATGCTTAAACCAATTAGCTTACGAACATAAGGAATCTCATCCTGAAGCTAGTGAAGCTATACTAAAATGTTTTTATGTTGATGACCTGCTTTACGGTGGAACAAACATTTCTGATATTATAAGAGTAAAAAACGACATAAATGCGATTCTGCAGAAAGCTAGATTTGAGCTTGGAAAATGGGTATCAAATGACGAGCGTGTATTTCAACAAATTAATAAACCAAAGGATTGTACTCTAGGTGAGCATGAAAACTCAAAAACTATTGGTTTGAAATGGATTCCTGCAGAAGATCAACTAAGCTTTGAAATCGGTAACTTTGATGAAGAAAAACCTGTTACGAAACGTACAATATTGTCCATGACTGCTCAATTGTTTGACCCTCTAGGACTATTAAGCTCAGTAATTATTATACCGAAGGTTATGTTACAAAGACTATGGCAAGCGAACCTGCACTGGGATGAATCTGTTCCTCTAGAGCTTCATACAAGATGGTTAAGCTTCAGAAAAGAGCTAATGGAACTTGCCAATCTCAAGATACCTAGGCATGTAGTATGTACTCGATTGAAAATAGTACAACTACATGGATTTTCAGATTCATCGGAACAAGCATACGGTGCATGCGTATAGTTAAGAACAGTCGATGTTGATGATAAAGTTCTCGTTAATCTATTATGCTCTAAGAGTAGGGTAGCGCCTGTGAAAATTATTTCTATACCCAGATTAGAATTATGCGCAGCTGTTCTACTCGCAGAACTAACACAAAGGGTATTTCAAGCTCTTAATATGGATATTCAGAGTGTACACTATTGGTGCGATTCTAAAATTGTTTTGTCTTGGATTTCAGCTTCAGCGCACAAATGGAAGACATTTGTCGCAAACAGGGTAGCAAGAATTCAAGAGCTGTCAAACCCAAATGAATGGCATTATGTACATACGTCTGATAATCCTGCAGATCTTATTTCGAGGGGTTTAAATCCAAAACTCTTGATTAATACTCGTTTATGGTGGAATGGTCCATCATGGTTAAGGTTAAATTCATGTGATTGGCCTGCATATAGCCATAAAATTGACAATATACGGAAGAAAGTTAAATTAAAAAAAAAAAAAAAAAAAAAAAAAAAAAAAAAAACTTAATTAATAAATTTTCATCCCTTATGAAACTGAAAAGGGTATCAGCCTATTGTTTGCGTTTTATACATAATTGTAAGTTTAATCGAGATAGAAAAAACGAACGTCTTACCGGTCCTTTATCTGTGAAGGAATTAAATTTTGCATTAAAACGTATTGTACTTTTGGTACAATTACAAGAATTTTCACAGGAAATAGATGACCTTAAACGCTCTGGAAGGGTTAATGTCAAGAGTAAGCTGTCTTCTTGAAATCCTTTCTTAGATGATGGAATAATAGGAGTTGGTGGACGTATTAAGCATTCAAATTTTAATCTTGAGAAAAAACATCCAGCTGTTTTACCATCTAAACATAATTTTACCATTTTGCTTATGAATTATGAACATTTTAGATTATTACACGCACCACCTAATTTATTATTAGCATCCATAAGAGAAAAATTTTGGCCATTAAGTGGACGTAGCCTCGCAAAAGGAATAGTGCACGATTGTATGAACTGTTTTAGGTTGTAATCAACGCAATCAAAATATTTAATGGGCGATTTACCTTCTACTCGATTAATGCCCACGAGACCATTTTTAATAGCTGGTTGTGATTATGCCGGACCCTTCTTATTGCGCGATCGCAGCACTAGAAATTTTAAATTGGCTAAATGTTATATTTGTCTTTTCATTTGCTTTTCAACTAAAGCTGTCCATTTGGAACAGGTGAGCAGTTTGTCAACCGAAATTTTCTTATCAGCCTTACGTAGATTTTTTGCAAGACGCGGGAAATCTCAAATAATATATTCTGATCACGGTACCAATTTCCAAGGTGCAAAATCAGAACTTTATAAATTTCTAATGAATAAGACGGTAGAAAACGATATTAAAACCAAGCTATCAAATGAATCTGTTATGTGGTCTTTCATACCACCACGTGCTCCACATTTCGGTGGATTGTGGGAGTCTAATATAAACTCGGTTAAATCGCATCTTAAAAGAATTATCGGGGAACAATCCTTGACATACGAGCAATTTTCTACAGTGCTTTGTCAGGTTGAAGCATGTCTAAATTCCCGACCCCTTTCACCACTTTCATCCGATCCCAACGATTTGATTCCTATCACCCCGGCCCATTTTCTGATCGGAGAAACACTTATGAGTCAACCAGAACCGGATTTGACAAATGTCAAAGAAAACTTACTGTCAAAGCTGCAGCAATGTCAACAGATGGTTCAGCACTTTTGGAATCGATGGTCCAAGGAATACATATCGGAGCTGCAGATCAGATCAAAGTGGAAGCAATCCTTTCCCAACGTCATAAAGCCTGGTATCCTTGTAATTGTCAAGGAAGATAATACTCCTCCTCTAAAGTGGCAACTTGGAAGAGTGGTAGGAGTGCACCCTGGAGCCGATAACGTTATTACAGCCGTATCTATTAAAACGTCAAGGGGAACCATACAAAGACCAGTCATGAAAATTTGTGTCCTACCAGAACACTGTCAAGCAGAGAAGGTTGAAGCCTAAGAGGTTTCAAGGCGGGCGGCTATGGTGAATAAAAACGCACAACGGCAACGTCGCTTCATTTCCTTGTGACGCGTGCAGCACCCCTCCACCGTCGGCGACCGGCACCGAAAGACGAAGACGAAGAAGCCGCGGCCATTACACATTCGCCTCTACTGTCAGACAGGGCGCATCATTTCATTTTACTTATTTACGTAATTAGTTGTATATTGTTAAATATATTATTAATAAAACCACACACAAAAATCATCGTTTTAGTACGCAACAACTTCAATGATTAAAGTTAATGTTAACTTTTTAGCTAATTTTATAAAACCTACTAATTCTGAAATAGAAGTAAAGCATTTCACTACTAAAAATCAAATAATTGATAATTCTACAAATTTAAAAAAGTGGTATAAGGAATATATTAGAAATTATATTTTAACAAAATTATCAGAATTTCAAGAACGCGATCGTGGTTGGGCACTTTATGAAATTCTTCAACTTGAAGTAAATATAAATAAATTTGTACGTATTACTGCAGGTTTTTCTACATTTGTTAATACACCTAAATTTATAGACAAAACGAAATCTGTAATAAACGTAAAAAATAATGATGAATATTGTTTCCTTTGGTCAATAGTTGCATATTTAAATCCTGTTTCGATTAATTCTAATCGTGTTTCATCCTATCCTCATTTTAGTGAAATAACCTATAGAAAGATAAAAAGAAAATTAAGCTATGAAAAGTTTCAATTTCCTAGCATTTAAAAGGATATTCTAAAATTTGAAAAAATGTAATAAATAAAATTTCTATATTTTTTTTTTTTATATTTTCTAAAACTAAATTTTCCTTTAGCTTAAGTAAATGACTTTCTATTAAAATAAATTTACTACTATTACCAAACCATTCTGATATTGAGGATGTGAATAGTAGTGATGATAATAGTGAATGTTTAAACAAGAAGCTTATATAATTTTGCTCTTATTAAAAATTTATCTCGATTACTTCATATAAGTAGTTACCTAATCGAAAAGAATAAATCATGGTTATGTGAACGCTGTTTAAATTCATTTATATCACAAAAAATTTGGAAAAGCATTCAGATAGTTGTAAAAAAAATGAATACACATTTCAAGTTATTGTTCCCAATGAAAAAAAAAATATTAAAATTTTCAAAATTTAAGTATAAGGAAAGTGTTCCTTTTGTTATTTATGCTGACTTGGAATGTATTCTTTTCGATATGAAAAATGAAAATAGTTTTAATATAAAATCGAAAAATTGTCAAAAACATGAACCATTTAGTATTACATACTATTTAAAATGTTCATATAATGATGAACTTTCACGTTTTAATCTGTACACTGGTAAAGATTGCATAAATTGGTTTATTAATGAACTAAATACTATAGCGTTAGATGTGCATAATATTCTTTGTAACATTATTCCAATGAAACCTCTTACACAAGCACAATACCAATATATTCAAAGCTGTAAAGAGTGTCACATTTGTTTGAAACCGTTTAATAAAAATGATGCAATTGTTAAGGATCATTCACATTTTACGGGTGAATTTCGAGGTCTTGCTCATTCTCACTGCAATATTAATTATCAAGATTCTCATACAGTACCTGTTATCTTTCATAATCTCTCAGGCTATGATAGTCACTTCCTGATAAGGGCTTTAGCTACTCAGAATAAAGGAAACATGGGTATTTTACCTGTTAACAAAGAACGATACATTTCCTTTACAAAATATATTCACAACACAAAAGTTAATTTTAGATTTTTAGATTCGTTTCGTTTTATGGCTAGTAGTCTCGATAAATTAGCATCTTATCTAGTAGATAATCAAAAAGAAATTATTCGAAAATATTATCCAAAGCATGCAGAGTTCCCAACATGAGTATTTTACCATTAAACAAAGAACGATACATTTCCTTTACAAAATATATTCACAACACAAAAGTTAATTTTAGATTTTTAGATTCGTTTCGTTTTATGGCTAGTAGTCTCGATAAATTAGCATCTTATCTAGTAGATAATCAAAAAGAAATTATTCGAAAATATTATCCAAAGCATGCAGAGTTTGCAAACAAGACATTGAATTGCCTACAAAAGATCAATTTTATAGTTCTCTTAATAAAACAAATATTTCCAAAGAGGATTATCAGCATGCAAAACTAGTGTGGAACACGTTTAGCATTAAAAATCTACAAGAATATGCAGAATTATACTTAAAACCCGATGTTTTGTTACTTGCTGATATTTTTGAAAATTTTAGAATTACATGTATGAAAACCTATGGATTATGTGCTCTTAATGTTTTTACAGCACCTGGATTAGCTTTCCAGTTTATGCTGAAAATTAGTAATATAGAGCTAAAATTATTAACTGACATTGATATGATTATGTTTATTGAACAAGGTATACGAGGGGGTGTTTCACAATGTTCTAATCGACATGCAAAAGCGAATAATAAATATATGAAAAACCAATTTGATGTCAATGAACCTTCGTCATATCTTATGTATTATGACGTTAATAATTTATATGGAGCAGATATGCCTCTGCCTGAATCATATTTTGAATGGGTTCAAGATATATATGAGTTACCAAATATAATAGATATTCCTGAAAATAGTGACACTGGTCATATCTTTGAAGTTGATCTTACTTATCCTCAAGAACTTTTTGATTATCACAAAGATTTACCATTATGTCCGGAAAGGAGAATACCTGCTGGTTCAAAGATTCCTAAATTACTTACAACTCTATATAATAAGGAAAAATATATCATTCACTATCGTAATTTACAACAAGCCGTTAGTTTAGGATTAAAAATAACAAACATTCATAGAGTTTTAAAATTTAAACAGTCTTGTAGGTTAAAGTCTTACATTGATTTAAATACAGCATTGCGAAAAAATAGTAAAAACAAATTTGAAAAAAACTTTTACAAACTGATGAATAATGCTGTATTTGGTAAGACTATGTAGATATTCTAAATATAAAGATATTAAACTTGTAACGAAATGGCCAGAAAGGTATGGTGCTAAATACTATATTTCGCAACCAAATTTTCATAGTTGTACCATTTTTGATCAGGACATGGTAATAATCGAAATGAAACGTGTAAAAGTTAAATTTGATAAACCAATTTATGTAGGATTTTCCATTTTAGATTTATCTAAGACTTTTATATACGATTTTCATTATAACTATATTCAAAACAAATTTGGAGAAAAAGCAAAATTATTATATACTGATACTGATTCTCTTATCTACCATTTTTTTGTGAACGATATTTATAACTCAATTAAGCAAGACTTAATATACCACAAAAAAATATTAGGTCTTATGAAAGACGAAAATAATGGGAAAATAATGACTGAATTTATTGGTTTACGATCTAAGCTGTACACTTTTAGAACTCAAGCACATAGTTGTGAAAATTTAAATGTTAGTAAAAAGCTAAGGGTATAAAGTCATCTTCACTTAAAGCTATAACTTTTGATGATTTTTATCAATGTCTTTTTAATAATTCCACTCTTGAAACTGAACAACATTTAATTCAATCAAAAAAACATCAAGTGTATACTATAGCCCAAAGAAAAATAGCTCTATCTCCGAATGATGATAAAAGAATTATTAATTATTTGTATAACCATGGGGTTGGGAACTAAGTGGAAACATTTAGAAAATCTTTAGATTTTATTTATTTGTTATAAAACCTCTCATTTTTTGAAAACATAGTCAAATGGTGGTGATGAAATATTGATGATGGAAAAGAGAAAATGCTTGAAATATGTAAAAGCAATTCCAGGAGCTTTTACTCCTACCAAAGGATCTCCTAGAGCTGCAGGATTTGATTTAAGGAGTGTCTACAGTATAACCGTACCTGCAAGGGATAAGGCGCTCATAAATACAGGTCTGAAATTTGAATTGCCTTCAGGATGCTATGGAAGAATAGCACCTAGATCAGGATTAGCTTCAAAAAACGGCATCAATATTGGAGGTAGAATTTTATTTTTTAATTATTAATATGATAACTATTCATTTTAATTTTCTTCTAGCTGGTGTTATCGATCAAGATTATAGGGGAATTGTGATGGTTCTACTCTTCAACCATTCAAACATATATAGCACAAAAAGTAGTGTGTTGACGGCGCCGGCATTCAAATTATAATCATTTCTTATCCATACAATAATAAACATGCTTACAAACATTCATTAAAATTAAATAATATTTAGTGGGTGTTCTATTTTCAATGTCACTTAGTCCTATTATTATTTTGACTTATCTGCTTTTACACTAAAGAAATCTGTGCTATTTTTAGGTAAATGCAACTCGACATATCTGCAAATATCGTCTGTGCCAAATAATTAAACCTGTTCTGACATACATTTTACAATTGAAGAGTTTCAGCCAGAGAACAGTGCCGACGATTTTTATAATCTAACCACTAGCACTACCAATCGAGATTGTATTTCTGACAGATGTCAGTTAGATATATTTTCTTCTTTTTGTTATTATTATTATTAAATGTTTGGAAGTTAGGAAATTTTAACAATAAAGTAGCATTTATTTCAAGTTTGATTTTAAAAGTAGATAAGAAAACTCATAAGATTGGGGCTACCAAAACAAGGCAATTTATTCATTTTTTTTTCATTCAAATTTGATACAAGTTTGTAAAGGGTGTTTTAAAAAGACATTTGACTTGTCAAATAAGTTTATCGCGAGCGTTATAAAAAAGACCCTCATATCAGGTACAACATTGGATGATGAACGGTACATCCACCACCGAACAAAATTGAAACTGACAGAATTGAATTAGTAAGAAAGAAAGAAAGAAATTGCTTTATTGTCATAAAAAATTTTACAATTTTGTTGACAAAGCTTAAAAAAAAGAATATAAAAAACATACAAAACTTCACTTAACAATAGAAAAACATATAAAACTAACAGCAAACATACAAACTAAAACAATACTTTATACAATTATAGAAATTGTACAT